ACAGCACCCTTAATGCCTTCTGTACCATGCAAAACACATCTTGACTTACTTATACATGCTTGTAGGAGGCAGCTTGAGGCTGTGAACTAAATACCTTTGACTAGCTTGCAAACCCACAGGTCCTTGATCTTCTCTCAGTGAGAAGTTACTATTTTGCATTTTTCTTTGCTAGCATTATTTAAAAACACACACTAACCTTAATGAGGCAGGGCATCCTATAACATAACCCAGTTCTTTAGCATGTACCTGTGACAGCACAAATACGGTTGTTTCACAAGGTGAAAACAAAGAAACTAGCAAGGGTTGGAAGGTGGGTATGAAATGATGAAACATTCAACTTAATAATTAGAAAAAGCAAGCAAAAAAAAGCTCACTTCCAAAGAGACGTATGTGAGAAACTGCAGACTTCCACTTTGACTTATTTATTCCCTTACTTTTATAGTGTTTCTGCTTTTTGTTTCTTCCATGTTGCAATACAAAGCAGTGTTCAGCCTCCTCCAAGGGGGCTGAAGAAACAGCTCAATAGTTAAAAGCACACACTGCCCTTGCAGAGGACTCAGGTCTGGCAGCTCACAACACCCTGCAATTTGAGTTTCAAGGGGATCTGATACCTTCTGGCTTGTACAGGCACCTGTGCTCATGTGCACAACCCCCCGACACACACACACACACACACACACACACACACACACACACACACACACACACACACACATTGTGGCATATGAACTCTCTGGCCTCAGAATCATTGCTGCTTTAATCTAGCTTGTTGAAATCTGTTCCTGAATTGAAGTTATGGTCTGACATCTCTGCAATATACTTGCTGGCAAACAGATTGCAACTATTGTCCTTTACAGAAGTTAACAGCACTCCTACCCATCTTGTCAGCTAGTTCCTTTTTCAATGGTCAACTGAAGACATTCTATCTTCAATCTTCTGAAGGATGTGGAGGTGGAGCATACAAAATACTTGGGACAAGATGTATTTGGAATATTTTTATAACCATAATGAGACATCTTTTAGTATGCCTATATCTTGTCAGTAATCCATCAGGAAGGTATTGAAATTTTCCATTTCTAAGACTTTGGGGCTCAGAGTCTTGGATTTGGGGATGTTTCTTTATGGGTTGAAGTTGTTCAACTTGTGAGGTTTGCCAGTCACAACTTCCTAACGCCATGCTCACATGAAGTGTGACTACCAGCATTTGTCCAGTTAGGAGCTTGCCTTTCTCTTGTAGACCAGGCTGGTCCGGCAGTGGTAGCACATGCCTTTAATCCCAGCACTTGGGGCAGAGGCAGGTGGATCTCTGTGAGTTCAAGATCAGCCTGGTCTAGAAGAGCTAGTTCCACGACAGCCACAGAAAAACCTGGCCTCGAACACCCCCCTCCAAAAAAAAAAAAAAAAAAAACCAAAAACCCACCACCATCACAAAACCAAAGGGTCTTGCCTTTCTCACACATAAATCCAATCTACTTACTGCATTATAGTTTACACATTTCTGCCACAATTTGATGGCAAAACAGACAGATTGTCAATGGTGTAACTGGAAGCCACTGAGGATTGGAAAAGCTAAACGGCCTCAATAAGGCCATTCAACGAGATCAAGGACAACCAGTTCAAGACCTTTGACTCTACAACCCACCCTAGTTCCTTTTGCCCACACAACCTGGAGAACATGACCAAATCACATCCCATTGTCTCACCATGGTCCTCAACAAGAAACACCTGAATGTCATTGAAAGCATCATCTCTCATGCTATTGGCAAGTTTTTCCTAAGCAATACAATTTTTGCCTAAGTCTTACAAACTCTATATTCCCCTCATGCATTGAGCACCAACATCCACTCTTAAACCAAGAGGCCTAATTGAACAAAACATGCCACCCCCCATGCTCCCCATTTTCCCTGCCATCTGAGAGCTCCTGAATTATCCTGCTCCTGTTCACTGTTGGGTCCTTTGTCATTTTATTCAGTGCTCTAGCAATCGTTGTAAGCCTCATTTTTCGCCGGCAGAAATATGCCTAAGTGATGTATTGCAGCTCCCCCACACAAAGGAGACCACCACAAGGAAGGTTTGAGTTTACAGTCGCTCAGACCTTGAAGGAAATGGGAGAGTGCTGTAAACACAACACTGAAAGAAACTGCTGCAGTGTGAGCACAAAACAATGAACACAGTAGAACTTTCCCACAGGGCTGTGCCTACCAGTCTTTGTGTTAGCTGCACCCCCGGCACTGGCTTCCAGCATCCTAGCATAAGAGGTGATCCTCTGGATAGCTTCCCCTCGTTTGGAAATCCGTAGAGCATTGACTACTCAGAACCATAAGAGGACCAGTTCCTTCAGACTGTTTCACCAGCTGCACACTCCAGGCTTGAATACTACCCATAAATCTGGTTGTTTCCATGGGGAGGGAGGGTAAATTTTAACAATATTGTTTCCTCTATAATTGTCTCCACAGACTTTAGTTTCTGGAGCTGGTTTATTAAATCCCACTTTTTTTTTCCTTAGAAAATCATTCTGAAGGCAAGAATAACCATGCTTTCCCATCTACCCATTTATTGAGCAAAGTGACCTGAAGTATGCAGCACTGTACGGACACATCTTTAAACTCAATTGTTTGCTTCTGCTTCAGCCAGATTTAGTACAACACTGTGACATGTAATCTGTAGTTGATACCACAATCAATGTTTTCAGATTAATATACTAGTAGCACTGGCTGCAATTCCAGAGGCTCCAGCCTCGATTCCCAGTACCCACATGGCAGCTCACAGGTCCCAACACACCAGTTAGAGGATGATGCCCTCTTCTGCACTCCGCCAGCATTGCAATCAAATGGTGCACAGATACACGTAGGCAAAACACATAAAATAAACAATCTTTTAAAAAGACACTAGTAGCCTCAACCATCTATTATTTGCACTTAGCAGTGTCTGGTAAGTAGGTGGTCAGTGCTGAAGGTAGGATGAAGAACCTGTGCCCCAGCCAATGAAGACATAAGTCAACAGGAATCGTAAAGTCCCATCCCAGCCTCTCCCTTGGCTCCCCTCCCTACATCGCAGGAACACTGGCTTCAGGATTAAGAACAGAAAAGTTAGGAACATTAAGGTTACAACTTTAAAAACTCATCTGTGTCAGTGAGTAAACAGGCAAAGATTCAAATGTTCTCCATTTTATAAGACCATTTTTAAAAACTTGCATTTTCCCAGGCATTTGAAAATGTTGTTTATTTACAGACACGTTTTTTTTCATCTCAGCCCTTACACATAGGTATGCATATATCTGCCTAAATCCATGGATTAAAGGTTCTGTCTTAATTACCTATTTTATCTTAAAGTGACAGAGTAGGGCAGGTGGAGGGACCCTCACTTTTGCTTCACTTAAGGCTCTCACCTCTGCTGACTTTTTGATCCAGGAGTGAATGCTGTTTATCTTAGCATCCATCAGGATCAGCAAAGCAGGGCTGAACAGGTGGGAAGTATAGATTCTATCCAGACACTAATCAGAATAATCAAGTAAGACTCGGTGACAACACATTAATTCAAGTGACTTCAATTTTATTTTCATTTTTTTGTATAATCTTCAGAAGGTGGGAGAAGTGTCAGGTAGAGTTATCTCCCCACCCCTCTCCCCACCAAGCCAAATCACTCAAGAATTGGGATCTTGGAAATGCAATAGTAGACCATCAGTGGTACCATTACGCCGTTGGTTACAGCACCATGCTAATAAGTCAGGGTCTGAGCACTGACTTCTGCAAGGGCCAGTTAACTGAAGTTTGTCCCAAGGACTTTACTAAGCAGCACTGTTAACTGCAGACTGCTTTCTCACAATCACCTCACTGTCAGAGGACAAGGTCCTGGCAAGGTGGTTGGTGAATGAAAACAAATCTATCTACACTAATGGAGGAAAAAGAAATCCCATGTGTGCTGCTGATAAAAGGTTAATGGAGTCTTATCTTTAAAGGAAAAGCCACACATCATCTTAGTTCTATGCTAAACAAGGTTCAATCTGAAAGAGTTGGTGACAGTTAACAGTTAACTTGATCTTGGAACTCGTGACAGTCTATAGCAAGCCCAGTAAAGGCCCTGATACTGTCACTTAACCCATGGAACTAGTAATTCCACATGGACAGCCTTTCCTCTTAATAACTGTGTACCACATTTTTTTTTGCATATTTACCATTAGTCATTTGGTTCAAAGTACTGTGAAAAATTCAGCTAGAAAATTATTCATAAAACTGTATTCTGTATTTTATTTTCAAACAGCCAAGTGTCCACATTTAAAATGCAGAATTTGCAAATATAAGTTAATCTAATAATTCAATTTAAAATAAAGTAAAACAGTTTCCTTTAGTTATCACAATACATAAAATGGTATTATAAACTCCAAGAGGCGAGGTGAATTCCATGACGACAGTGCCAAAAGCTATGAACTCATTAAACCTCGTAATGTCAGTTCATGTCTCATGACCAGGCATGAAACAAGCCACCACTGTATTCAAATGGCTCAGTGAGATTCACTCATGGTTTAATGTGGGTCAAGCAAGATTTTTTTTTAACAATGACATTAAAAAATCTTTCAACAAAAAAAATCCTCCAATTGTTTAAAAACAATTATACACGGAGGACAATTACATTTTAAAACATCTTGGCTAAATTTCAATGGTTAGGCTGCTGACCGCAGTGTAAAAGTTTGTATTTAAAAATATCACAAATATAGTATTTAACAGTGAAAATTTCAATGTGGTTAAGTTTCACTGTGAAGCGATTTCACCTGAGTAGACTTTGAAATCTAGTGCTCATGTTTTGGGGAAAGGGAAGGAAAGCCCCTCTTGTCTGATGCTGAGTTTGCAGCTGATTCTCCCACTGACCCCCTGGGGGTACAGGAACCATCTGCTATGGCCTTCCCTTTCCCACGTAAATTTACTCTTATCCATCAAATATTTCCATGTAGCTACCCATTCAAGCATAGCAACCCAATTCATTCAGTTCTATACAACGGCCTCTACATTATATACATGTTTAATTAGCAATAGGAAATAGAAAATAAAAATTTACAGTGATTGAGAAGGGGTCAGAGAATAAGACAGGAAAAGTAATACTGTATAATCAGAATATCCTATCAGCCTACCACTTTCAATGACAAGGTTTTCTTTTATTGGTTGGAATACAAAGAAGGCATAAGGGATTCCAGGAAAATAACACTATGTCTCAGAAAATTCAACGTGCTCCACCATCAGGATATCCATCACAGATTTAATTTCTTCTGTACAATTTTTATAAATGTGTTTTTCTTTTCAAAGTCATCAGATTTCCAGGTGAAACTCAGCACTACACAGTATGCCCTTGAAGCAATGAGGTTAACCTGCTTTATTTGGGTACCAAGGTCCCTTCCAGACAGCATTAAAATAAAGACAAGTAAGACTAGACAGATAAAATCCAGTATAATTCAAACCCGACAATGAAAAATTTCCCCCATATTGTTGCAAAAGTCTCTCTACTGAAATGCTTTGCTACAATAATAAAAAGCATACATTACATAGAAAAGGTACCAGTGTACTAAAAAGTGACAGGAGTGGACTAGCAAATCCTTCAAAGCACATTATATAAATGACTAGCATTAAAAACATTTCCCTATAAAATGTAGGTCAGAGTCAGTTATAAATTGGCGGCTTCATTTCTAAAGCAGTGACGGGTGTTTCAGAGTACAGTATAGTATCTACTCACTTCAAGCTATAAGTTTGTCTTTCTTTGTATTGAAGCTGAGTAAATTCATCTGGTCAGCTGAGAAATCAAGCTTGAAAAATAAGTATCTAAAAATCAAAGTAGAAAGTTTAGAATCATTGAAATGTAACTATGAAATATGAAGAAATTTATCTACTTCACAATTGAACTGAAGTTACCTGAACACTTACGGGCTTGAATCTAAAACAGAAACACATATTAAAACCCAAAGCAAACCACAAAGTTAGGTAGCAGTACAGAAGCAGGAAAAAAAAACCAAATAAACAAAAACAAACAAACACATCCCTTCCTTCAGTGTGATGGGCACTAAGTTCTGCGTCTTCCTCCATCTTTGCACAAGAGTGGTAAGGCCATTCAATGCTTAGTGAGAGTGATCGCAGACGAAGCCAGGTCTAGCCTGTCTCCCCTGCAACGTCAATTATGCTGTGTAAACAGTGTTACGTTCCAACAGAAGGAACAATGGAATTTGCTTATAAAAACTGATTAAAGATAATCATTATTAAATGAAATAAGGATAACTAACAACTCTGAAATGTTTCTATAGAACGTTCCTGATGCTACTTGTAAAGTTAGCACTGCTATGTATTATTGCTTACATACAGTACAACATCACACGCCTTCTAACATAAAGCCGTACTGTGATTGGTTTGTACATATTTACAGAGTCTTAAAAACAAGCTGTAAAAACATTACATACTTTCAGACAATACAAATTAGCACATTGGTACTCACTTCAAACAAATGGAATGCATAACATTAATAAACATCATAAAGGAAGACTCACATCAAAGTCCTTGATTGTCAAGACACGTTTATATATAAACTCTAACTGTGCAGAATTAAAGATTCAATCATAGGTACATCCTTACTCGATGAACCATATTTACAGCATGGTATTGCATAAAAAAATAAAATAATGTTTACAGGGTTTTACTTTTTTTATCCATTGGATTAAAGAAAGCAACAAACACAACAAGAAATGTTTGTCTGCTTTAGCTTGTTTCCTACCAAAGTTTAGTTGGAGAAAGGAAACATATGGTTTTTATTTGCAGAATATAGCAAAAACAACTGGAAAATTATTTCCCTGAAATAAAGCAATTTGAAACGGAAAAGGTTTAAATTAAATTGCAGACTCAAATAAACCCTCACTGATTCTAATAGTGCTTCTTCAAGTAAACACACGGAAAAGATGAACTCTACAGGTCCTGGGGAGGGCAGCAGGCAGCGTGCCCACTCCAAGGCTCCCGGCCTTTTTTTTTTTTTTTTTTTTTTTAAACAGCCCTTTAAAAACCCAAATCAGTAAAATCAAAGAAGCGGCAAAAGATTTAACCTCACTGGCACTTCACAAGTGTCTCTCATCTGTGGGAATGAAAGCTTGCCCTGAGCACAAGGCCTCTTCTACCTCTCAGGAGATAAAATGACCCATTGCTGGCACCCTGAGTCAGAGCTAACTAAGATGGTGGATTCCTACCTGACTAGGTAGCACATGCGCACTGCACTGTAGACCATCAACAACAAAAAAGCTTAGGAGCCGCTCGGCTATTCTAAACCCAATGAAATAATGTGCAGTAAGAACTGATACTCAAAACGCAACAGTGTTTCAGATGCTGGAGAACTCCTGCCTGTCTCACGGTGGACAAAAGCTGAAGAAGCTACTCCTCTACAAGACTTTGCTCCCCGAGAGAGATGAGAGATGTGAACTGACAAGGATCCGTCTAAAGCAGCACGCAAGGCCACTTCCTTCCTCTAATGCCCAGAACTTTCTGAACCAAAGTGGAGAACCCAAACTTTTGAGATGCTTCTCGCATGATGAAGAAACTAGCTGAGCCTGGCAGGAGTCAGGACTTCACAGTAAGTGATGACTACACTTCAGCGGTAAGTCAGTAAGTTATGCTGGCTATCGGTTACCTCAAATGCTTATAACCTGGTAGGAAAGTCTGCCATCGTGTAGATTTAAAGAAAGGACAGGAATGCAACGCCTGAAATTCTGTTTACAGAACTTCCATTTTTCAAGGCTTTTCTTCCTAAGTGTACCTGAACCGCTCAGCAATTGTTCCATTCTTAAACCTGTGCTGGTGATGTTGTAAACAAAACCCCTCACACTGTACAAGCAGCACATCAAGTTCTCAGAGGAACTACATTTTTAAAACTCAGGCTCGACTTAGGAAATCAAGGTCTACTCTTATCAAAAGTACTATGAGAAAAATACAAATGCTCATAGACGTGAGCATGGTCCCATAACATGTCATCTGATGAAGCATTTCTGCGCTGAGGTGATGTGCCACGGACACATCGGTTTTCAGACCAACAATGGCAGAACTTAAAATATTTACTTCAAAGAAGTCTTAAAGTTCTTGAAGATCTGACAGCAAAGCTTAAGCTGTCAAGTGGGAAAACTATGATTTCAAGCAAAGTTTCATAACAAAGTATAGAGGAAACCACATTAAATATAACTTATATTCCTTGTCATAAAAAGACCAACATATTAAAAAATTTAAATGAGTCTAAGTGAAGGATGGGGGAGGAGGGTATTACTTTGTTCCCTTTCTTTATGAGAACAGTTTTGGGATAATATTAAATAAAAGAAAAATAATTTAAATGGATAACATATTCAACACTGAAACAAAGCACACAGGTCTACAGGGCCAACAGCAAAGTCAAAATGAAAGTTAACGAAAGCTTCATCTCCCAAGGGTACTAGTTTCAGGTTACCACTGGTACATTGCGAGAAAGAAAGATGGCAGAAATTTGAAGTACAAAACCCAAAAAGGTGGAACAAATAAAAGAGGAGGGCAGAGTCAGTGTAACTAATGTTGAGTCTCCAAAAATTAAAACTGTCCAACGTGTAACTCAAACCATCATTCTTCATAAAAGTGTATATATATATATATATATATGTGTGTGTGTATATAAAAGCACTATTTATTGTACCATGCTGTATTATTTTAAGACAAAGTATACATATATAAAAAAAACATTCTTCGTATAAGGATAAAGTCTGTAGTTTATTTAGATTTTGAAATGCAACAAAAAACTTCCGATCACTCATCTAGCTGAAAAAGAAATTGCAGTTACTGGAATCAGTAAGCATTTCCTCTTTGTAAAACTGTCATGAGCAGTATTCACTTAAAAGTAACTTAAGTAAGCAATTAAAATGCCCATTTCTTTAGTTTCTTGGGATACTGTTTAATTATCCAATCTATCAAGAGTCCAGAAAGAGAAGAATTAGACCAGGTTTTACAGTCCAAAGATATCCCAACTTCCTTTTATTGCCAAAAAGCAAAATTGTCAATTACGAGATGATTATGACACAACCATATCAAACTTAAAAAAATCTATTTTTTTAACTTTGAGAAATCAAAAATACCCGATTAATTCTAAGTGCTCTATGTCAACTGAAGTGTGTAAAGTGAAATACATCTCAGCTTCAAAACGTGGAATATACATTGCGTGTAAGCATTATTTTTTTGGGAATGTAATCTACAGAATATTTCTTTTTTTACTAAAACTTCAAACCTTGATACTTGCACATGAAAAATCATAAAAAATATCTAAGTATACCTGTACAAAGAAACTGACACCAATATGCACACTTCCAGAGAGAAGTGAATGCTTCAACAGTTGTGTTTTGGTAAAAGTTTTGAAAGTATGCATACTTTAAAAGTAATTAGGCTTTTAAATAGTGGAGTCTTAGACTATCAGATTTTTATTACCTTTTTCTTCAAAAAAAAAAACACATGTCAATATAATGCAAAATGAGAATCAAGGGTATATGGCATATCATTTTTAAGGTGGTTTCTTTTTATTCCCCCCTATAGGACAAACTACTTATTTTAAGCCATAATCTCTTGACATGGAAACTTTAAGTTCACTGTCTGTGAAGTGTCCTCAGATTCCCTGCTCAAGTGCAATACTATGCTGAAAACTTAGAAACAGTATGAGGAAATTTCACACAATTACTACGCTCCTAAGAATGTACAATGTTATCAGTTAGGAAACAATTGTGCGAAAGTCTTTTCTCCTTTTTATCTTGGTGTGGGTCAATAGCAAGGTTCTGATCTAAAACAAGTAATGCATTGCTCTATAACGGTGACAACACGTAAGGCAGTTCAAGGAATGCGGACTAACCAAACGAAATGCAGGTATTGGATTATCTTGCTATTCTTATCAGCTTGCTATGAACGCATTACTCTTAAATCTGTATAGCACTCCATTTTACACAGAGTAACCCCACTCTCGATTAATCTGTTCTAAAGTGCCAGTATTATTTACATTTTTTTTTTTTTTTTTAGCCAAAAGTCTGGCCAGTTGTGGCATCTGGTGAAGATGTCATCCCAGCTCTATTATCATTTACATTCACCAAGGGAAATTCTGAAAATTCAGCACTTGTCCCTGGTCCCCGAAGGTTCACCTGTCCATTGGCAGTGCTAAATTGAGTTGCTATTCCAGCTCTGGATCCATGATATGGAGCACGGAAGGGCTGTTCAAAGGAGCTCATTTGGTAAGCCTGGTGGACAGGCTGTGCCTCAGCTTTCTTCTGAGAAGTCACTTGATCCAAAAAGTCTGCGGTTGATGTGGCAGAGGCATGGTTTGTCTCATCACCTGAAAAGGGAAACGGGTGCTGTGAGTCACCGACTATTAGTCCAAAGTGGGACTTATCTGGAGTTGTTCTTAGTGGAGAATTCATTCCTGATCGAAAGCTATTGATGGGCATGGCTGCATAGACTTGCTTGTCTATGGAAGAGAATGCTGGCGGATTTGGAAGGGTCTGGTTATCAGTCACAAAGTTAAGGCTGGGGCTATTCAAATAGGCATCGTTTTGGCTAGTTCTGTCCAAAGCCTGTTGCAGGAACTTGGAGTACTCCTGCAGCATGTTAGCTTTATCTGCCGAGGATGCCTGAGAGCTTGATCCAACACTCTCTGACGGAGTGACTTCAGGTACGTCAGAAGAATTGATTGATATGCTAGAAGTCACTTCAGTATCGGCAACACTGAAGGAAATCTCGTGCTGTCCGTTAGCCTTGTGGGAGTAATGATCCAGCAGAGTCTGCAGGACCTCATCTGGAATAACGCTTTTGTCATGATTGCTCTTAATCTCCACATTCAGTGCTTGGGAATCCAATATGGATGCTGTGGTACTCTCGTCAATGACGCTGGCCACAGCTGCTTGTGTGACAGAGGGCTGAGAAGCTATGGTACCCACATTCAGCGCATACTCCCTGCTGTTGTTACTTGCAGCTTGAAGATACCGCTTCTTCTTCAGAAACTGCATGGCATCATCATAGTTAGTACTGCTGTGTACAGGTTTGCTGGGCCCCTCCTGCAAGTTATCCACTTGATCAATGTCAGCACTGCCTTCTGAGTCCAGTAAAGCCTGCTTATCCACAAGCTCAAACGCATACTTTGAAACTTTGCTGTCTTCGTAAGTGGACAGGGGTGAAATGGTTTGATTTTGTTCCAATGGCTGTTTCAGACTTCTCTTACTATTGATTTTTTTGAGAACCAACTTGGGTGGGTGTATTTCTCCAGATGCATCTTCCAAATGGGAACCTCCAACGGAAGAATGTGGCATTTCAACAGCATATTCTGCAACCATGTACTCATCTTTTACTTTAGTGCTCGAAGAGTAGAGCGGCAGGTAATCATTTTTGTCTTTCTTCATGTCAGATTTGTCCAATGCACTCTCTTTGTCCATTCCAGATGATTTCTTCTCAGTTTTTTGCCTTTTCTTTTTTGGCAGTGAATTATCTTTTGGTGATGTAGAAAAGCCAGAATCTTCCTCTGAAGTGAGAAGGCCACCTTTGATGGCACATCTGTTGAGCTTTTTGTCATGGTTTTCATGGCACATACGTTTATGTTTCAATACACGATCTGTTCTGGAAAAATACTGTTGAAATCAGAGGTTGGAAGTAGTTTTTTGTTGTTGTTTTTATGATTTTTTTTGTCAACAAGGAAGAGAAGAAAAAAAACAAGATAATTAATAACAATATAAACAATTCACTGATCAAGTTTCTATTATAAATCTAACCAAAGAGCTGAGAATCTCAAATGGTTCTAATACTAACGGTACCTAACTATTACTTATCTATTGCACACTACAGTTAGGTAGGAAAATTCAAACTGGCTCACTTACCTGTAAGCAGTATTCACATTGGTAAGGCTTCTCTCCACTGTGAGTTCTCTTGTGCCTTTCCATGTGATATTTCTGTATGAATCTCATACCACATTCATCACAGCGAAATGGTTTTTCACCTAATACATGATTTAAAAAATTCAAAACAAAACATTGTCAAATCACAGACTGCTTTGCCAAAAGAATCTCTTAACATAAACAGCTTTTGACAGTCACAATAATTTCCTCCTTTTAAATGACAAAAGTTTTCTATAAACTAAAGGCTGAAAGCAGGCACATTAAAAGAATGTCATCAATGCAATCTAACATAATTCTTGGGTGCAGATTTTTTAAAGATATTGTATCACACCTGGAGACTTCATTTATTCATTCATGTGCCATTCACCACAGCACGTATATGGTGGTGGGAGTTGGTTCTCTCCTTCTACCATGGAGATCTTAGGTTTGAACTCTCAGGCTCTCAATCAGTCTTGATGGCAAGCACCAACATGAGCTAAGCTACCTTGCCAAGCCCAAGAGCAGCTGTTTTAGTCTTAGTTTCTTTCTTTTTTAATTTTTAAATCACTATGCTTATGTGGAGGTAGACAGGACAATTTGAGGGAATCCATTTTCTCCTCCCACCATGTGGGTTCTAAGGATCGAACTCAAGTCATAAATAAGGGCTGTTTTGACCCTTAATTCCTTTAAAAGCTCTTACGAGTAAATGAAATCTGGATCCTTGGAAAGTACCTCTTACAACAGAGTTTACTAACACAAATACTACTGGGACAAAATTTCCCAAGTAAGGTTGGGGTTGGGAAAAACCATTTGTGGTGTGTGTGCTGTGAGCTCAAATAGCTTGTATTGATACAGGGGATGTCTGCGTGATCAGCAGAGAAACCCTGTCTTGAAAAAGAAGAAAAAAAACCCAAAACAAAACCACAACCAAAACAAACAAACAAACAAACAAACAAAAACTCATTCAGGGAAAGCACAATATATGAGAAAGATCATCCTAGTATGTTCCACAAACACTGTTCCTGTTATAAGTGCAAAGGTTCTGGGTTTTTTGTTTGTTTTGTTATTTGTTTGTTTGTTTGTTGTTTTTACGAGACAGGGTTTCTCTGTGTAGTTTTTGAAGCCTGTCCTGGAACTCACTCTGTAGACCAGGCTGGCCTTGAACTCTTCACAGAGATCTAGATGCCTGCCTGCCTTTGCCTCCCGAGTGCTGGGATTAAAGGCGTGTGCCACCACGAGCTCTGGGGTTTCTGAGTAGTGACTAGGGTGTTTCACCCTGGCCACATGACACTGAGACCATCAGCAGTCTACGGGTAAGGATGTAAGAATCTCACAACAGACGGGCATCTGCAAAGGCTTGAGTGTGTCCCACAAAGCTCCTGATGTAATGGCACTGGGAGGCAACGTGGGATCTTTAGGAAATGGAGCCTAGTATGAAGCGACTACACCATCACAACACCCTTGAAAGGAACTTTTTTTTGGTAGTCCCTACAGTTACTTCTTTCAAGAGAACTATTGGTTGTTCTGGCCTCTTGTTTTGCCTTCTGATCACCCACACTCTGCCATGATGCTACCTGACATGATATGACACGGTTAGGGGCCCTCACCAGAGGCCAAGGTAACAGAGCAACAGTGTTGACTTTCAGCCTCCAAGTGGCAAGCTGACAGAAGGTGCCTTCTCTATGAAGTACCCACGGTCGGTGTCACTTCATTTCAGCATTCTACTACAGAAGTTATTGGGCAGGTTACATGTGTGAGGATTGCAAGGACCCAGGCTTCGTGCACAATCTAACTCTGTATAGCTTGGCATAATGATCTCATTTTTGACAGTCTGACAGTCCTCTTTACACTTTACTCCAAACTAAGTTTAACCACCATCCTATCAAAATAGTTCTTTCTGATGTGGTATTGTTTTGTTGTTTGAGACAGAGTCTTCATATGCAGCTCAGGCTGGCTTGAAGCTTGCTATTTAGGCCCATGCTGGTCTCAAATTCACCATCCTTCTGCCTTAGTCTTCCAAATGCCAGGATTAAGGCGGGTACCACCACACGAGGCCCAGAATGGCTATTGGGAATCACCACAAAGTTGTTAATTCAAAGAACTCTCACTTCAATTACCTCACTGACCCTCTTACTGTCACTCAGCTAGGTGACACTGTCCTTGAATTGTTCTGGCTTCTAGGACATCCACACTCCCTCAGTTTGTCTGACTGCTCCTTCTTGCTGCTGTTCCCAGCTGACTCTCCTCTGAATGCAAATGCTTTATATCTAATCTAGAAGCCGTCCCTCAGCCTTCTGCCTTTCTCATTCTATGTTCTTTTCTTAGGCAAGAGGGAAGCTCATCTACGGTCACGGCTTTAATTATGCTCAACTCTGATCTCCAGACCCACATCTCCAATCTGTCTATTCAACATATCTATTTTTCTTTTTCATTTTAGCCTTATTTTATGCATGAGTACTTGCCTTCATGTACATATGTTTACCACATGTGAGCCTGGGGGTGGGAGGCCATTAGTAGATGTCAGATCCCCTGGAACTGGAGTTAAAGGTGGTTGGGAACCACCATGTGTATTCTGGGAATTAAACCTGGGTTCTCTGCAAGGGCAGCCAGTACTTTTTAACCACTGAGCCATCTCCTCACACCTGACATTACTGATACTTAAGCATCTCAAATACATCACATCTCACACTAAACTTAAGATCTTCAACTACAGCTAAGATTACAATGGTGCTACTATTCACTCAGCTGTGCAAGCTAGAGACCTGTACAACTTTACTCTGTTGTTTTGTATTTGCCCAATTAATAGATCCTACTGATTCCTCTTAGTCTCCGGCTGTTATTACCCAAGTTTAAGACATTTCCAGGCCTAGAAAATGATGCAATGCCCTTCTAACTAGTGTTAGTTACCTTTTCCTTGCTGCAACAAGTTTCTGAAATAAATAATTTAAAAGACAGATTCGTTTGACTCATACTCTCACAGGTTGTAGCCCATGACTGGCTCCACTGTTTTCCTCCTCCTCATGTGAGACTGTATATAGACGTCTCAGCCTTCTTGCCATTCCTCCTTAATAATTATACAGAGTAGCAAGGGATAAAAAGCCATCCTCAAATATAAACATTCTTCATCACTAAATGTTTTTCCTAATCATGGCCTTTAGACTTTCTGCTAATTCCCTGGTTCCTTTATTAATTTGCTATAAAAAATAAAAGACTTGCCTTTGCCTGTCCATATAAACTGTACTTTATACTGTATTTCTCTCTCTCTCACACACACACACAGAGTTTATTTCAGAGTAGGAAACATAATAGACAGTGAAGCTGGAGAAGGGTGTGGGAGACAGGGATGGAGGGAAGATGGCTAACATCAACAACAGGGCAGGATAACCACGGTCTAAATCAATTTATTGTCAATTTCTATTAGTGAGGATTTTGAATGTTCTCCAGACAAAGAAAAGATAATGTCTGAGGAAATGAATGTGTCGATTTCTCTGATCTGATAACTATTGGCTTTTCTACCCTGTTCCTTCTTTCAGACTCTTCATATCAAATATACTTCTTGATCACAGGGCTTTGTTTTAGTATAGTCTGACTCTATTCTGCAGTATTGAAGCTATTTACATTTAGGATACTTTCTCAACTATTTTGGGTTAAATATAATCACACACTATTTGCTTACTATCTGATCATTTGGTCTCTGTTTCTTTTGCTCCTCTCTACTGCTTCAGGGGCAACTAAGGCACAGTTTCAACACCTCTAACCCAGAATTTCAAAATATGAAATGCTCCCAAATCCAAAACTTTCTGAATGCCAAAATGAAACTAGAAGCAAATTCCACACGTAACCTCCGTTGTATGTTACAATATAGCACTGGCATATTCAAAGTTTTTATCACATTACCTTTAGGCTATGTGTGTAATGGCAATGAATTTCATGGTTTACTTGGGTCTAACCCTAAGGTATCTTATGCAAAAGAAGGTGTTACAAAATCTAAACCATTTCAATTTTAAACACTTTGGGTCCCAAGCATCTAGGGCAAAGGACACTTGAACTGCATCAATTTTTTTTCTGTCCTATTTGACTATACTGACTGTAACTTGTTCTACTATTCTTTTTCTTTCTTTTTGTTTTGCTTTGACACAGGCTCCGGACTCTCACAAAACTAGGCCTATCAACATTCAGTTATGGATGGGGGAGAGCTCATAAGGCCCCACCACACTCTGAGGACCTATTGGCCCTTAATGGTTGTGTGGGAGGAGTCCACTCCCCAGCGGTGTCCTTCCGCAAGTAAATAACTCTCCACCAGTGCTCATCTGTTTTCCCGTTTTCTATGCTGTTTTCTCTCAGTGACTTCCAACTTGTTAATCTCTTTTATGGCCTCTACTCCTCCATTAAGCGTGTATGGTATGCTACTTATTATACTGTTAAATTCTAGAATTTCCATGTTTCTTTTTCATAGGATGCAATTTTTTGGTAAAATTCATTTTTCATCTATTTTCTAAAATACATTATTGACAGTTTACATTTTAAAGTTTCCTTCTGATAACTCTAATTTCCAGGCTGTTATTTCCACCTGTAACCTAAAGGCTACCATACTCTCTGATTGAGAAATGTGAGCCAGGTAAGGGCGCATGCCTGTCAGCCCAGCCCTCAAGGCAGGGAGATCACAAATTTAATGCTATCCTCAGATATATAGCAAGTCTGAGACCAGCCTGGGAAGACTGTATAGTGGTTTGAGAAATGATACGAGGCTCAGGTATTTGAACACGTGGTCCCTAGCTGATGATATTGTCTGGAGAGCTTATGAAACTTTTAGGAGGTGTGGCCCTGCTGGAGAAGTACACCACTTGGGGTGGGCTGTGGGTTTATAGCAGCGGTTCTCAACCTTCCTAACACTGTGACTCTTTAATACAGTTCCTCGTGCTGTAGTGACCTCCAACCGTAACATTATTTTATTGCTACTTCTTAACTGTAATTTTGCTACTGCTATGAATAGTAATGTACATACCTGATACGCAGACTATCTGGCATGTGGAGCCCCCATGGGTGTCATGACCACAGGATGAGAACTACTGGTCACACATAAACACAGCCATGTTCATAGTCTCATTCTCTCTCATCGTCT